GAACGGCGACAAACAAATGGGAATGGTAGCGAACAAAGGGGAGCGGCGGCGAACGATGGTGAACAGCGGCGAACGACGACTTAAGATAGTGAGATTGAGATATGTGGGATGAGATTGAAAGAGATGGGATGAGATCGAGAGAGTCAGAGAGATGAGAGGAGATTGAGAGAGGTGGGATGTGATTGAGAGGGTTAGAGAGATGAGAGGCGACTACAAACCTTGAACTTAAAAAACATAAGATATATATATATATATCGGTTCAGGTTAAACCGATGTTTTCCCTTCTTAATCCGAGAACCGAACCAATCCGGTCGATTCTTTAAAATTAGAACCCAACCCGAACCGAGCATATACTTAACYCAACCCAACCCTCACGTGAGGGTTGGGTTCTTCGAGTTACTGGTTTTTTTAACACCTCTAATGTTGGGTAGTAAATGATATATTTGCAATTATTTTTGATCAATCTCTATAGGTAGATCTGGCCATTTGTGTATATAGAGATTTAAGGGGTTCATAAAAAAAATAGCATAAGTAAATATAGCATCAAACTTTGTTTAAGCTTTCTTTATACTATGTATAAATAGACTTTAACTCGTCGTCTTTGTTTATGCTTCCTTCGTTTATGTTTGCCACAAAAACAATATTGCTATTATTTTTAACTTGCAGGATCTGGAAGTTACCACCTCTTGTAGCTTTATGCTTTCTTTTAGCCATTATGGGTAACTACGCATGGAAAATTTGATTATATGTTGAGTACAAAATCGTATATTTGCTATTATATTGGACTAGATTTCCATGCTATATTTACTATATCCTACCCTATATCACCTATCTCGGTAATAAAATACAACTTATATAAGGTGATGGTGTAACTGTTTGTATACACTCTGTATTGATTATCCTCAAAAGTTGTTTGGAAAACAAATAACAAAATAACCCTTACTGTTTATTATCAAATAGGCAGTAAAGCTTACAAATGAGAATAGGCAAATTAATGTCAGATTGAGTTCTTACACCGTCTCCGATTGTGTCATAACCAACCACATCTACCACACTTTACTGTCGACCTCTTTTCAATAGGAGCAAGAAGTCTCTTTTTTCGTGGCCTACCAACAGAACACTTTAAGTTTGGAGGTATGATGTATGTCTCGTGTTGACCAAATGTTGAGGTCATGTTGTAAGTTTGACCAATTGGATGTATGTTGCTCTAATATAGTAATTACAATGTTGACACTTCATAGAAATCATAAACAAACATATTTAAATTCAACACTCTCCGACCAATAGCAAGACATGCATGTGGGCATGGGATCAAGTTTAAGTCTGATTGTCTACATGTGCATGTACGGTTAAGAATATTAACTTCATATTGCTTGCTTCGTACTTGGATTCTGAACTGATGATCATTAACTGAGTATACCTATAAAATTACATATAAAATATATCAATAAATAACACAAAGAAAAAATATAATTAATGGATAAATGCTGTGGAATTAAATCTTACATCTATTGTGCGACTCCCTTTCAAGTATGGAGCGTAGTACTTTCGCAGTTCATGGCCTGATATGTACTTGTTAAAAATTAGAAAACGACATCCGCGGATAAAACCACTTTTGCAAAAGATCTCTGATATACTCTAAAAGATATATAACTGGAAACTCATTAGCTTCTTTTAGGATGGAGTTCAAACTCTCAGAAATATTTATTGTCAATAAGGCATAGCGGTTCTCCATAGAGAATGCACGAGTCCAATTATGATAGCCTATTTCTTGTAATAGGTGGTACTATCTATTCCAATTGTCTCATATAAAATTCAAAAACATCAGATGTATATGAGTTCGCACATATGTGAAATAAACGGTCAATAGGTTTACATCTATGTTGTTGTTTAAGGTCTTTTAATAAATGAAATACACAAATACCATACTGTGCAGAATCGTATACATTGTTTACTTCCTTCCATATGCTACTATGTCGATCGAACACTATAACTAAATCTTCCGGTTCTCCAAATGCTACCTTCATATTTAAAAAACATCATTCCCGAGATGCATCATTCTCTGAGTTAACAATAGCGAAACCCAATCGGTATATTTGGGAGTTCCCATCAAAAGTACAGGTCGTCATTAGAGTGCCCTGGAATTTATTTTTAGGGATGTGTTATCAATAGAAAATACTTGAAGGCAGTGTTTCCATCTATCTATTGATGCTGCCAAACTCATAAAGAAAAATTTAAAGCTCCCATCACCATAAATCTCGTGGGTTGTGTACGTCCCTGCAAACATATATAGGATAAATACGCGTATAGACAGAATAAAGACAGAGTCAGTAAAGATACACGTGGTATCATGATTTTCTTGATCAGCCTAGCTGCAAACGACGGGATGAGAGCATACGACTATTCAGGTGATCCCCTTAATGAGTTTAAAGCTTTCTCCCTTCCTCTCTAGGCTTTGTCATAACTAATATTGATTTCATGCTTCTTCCTAACGTAATCAATTATGTGTCACGTGGACTACAATGTCTCCTGTTGTTCATGCTTAACATTGTCTTCGCACATCCACTTATCGTTGTATAGTCATTGCGAATATCATCAATTGAACATGTGTTCTTCGGTACAAGTTTTCTAACAATCCATAATTTATCGTTGCCATATCGAGAGGAGCGAATATACCACTTGCATGTTTCTTCGATTCACCTTACAAACAGTTGTTTCTAGTTTGATTTGATTGTTTTAAACTGCAATTCTTCCTTATTTTGAAAAATACATAATTCTTTCAATGAGAAATTAAAGGGAGCACAATCAAAATCAATAGGGTCCATGAAAATAAATTTCTTCCTCCTAAGGCAAACTACATTCTAAGTGACGTTCACACTTACACTGCCCCGTAGATGGTGTTATATACGGGGTCAGTATCCACAACTATGCAGTAGTTGCTGCACATGACATTCGACAAAACGGATATGGCCCACACTGCATCCCTATCTACTGATAGCCTCATAATGATTGACTTGCTCGCACCATTTTTGAACAATGAAAGTCGCGTAATTTTCTTACCTTCTGGAAAATGAAGATCTCTAGAGATGTATGCAATGAGTTGTTGTAGGGTGGAACCAAATGGAATTGAAACGTGCCCAATACTGAACCCTTGATAATTATCCTTCTCCTCCCAGCTTCCATCATGTAAAATCGTGGCTACAAATAATTGCATAGTATTCCCGCGTTGCTTGATTTAAATTCTCAACCAATATAACGAAAATGGGAATTTATGAAACTCGTGTAAGAATATTTAAGATGGTGATTGCTGTGGAATTTATTAACGAATTGGTTAGGTTTGTAATACATTCTAATTAGATTACATTGGAGACAATTTAACAATATTTTAAAATAGTTTGAATGATATTAAGAATAAAAATTAGTTAGATGGAAGTTCGAAATAAGATTTTGCGATTTTATTATGTAAAGATTTTAATAGTTTGGGTATGTAGATATTTCAGGGATTCATGTGATTTATGGAAGCTGGGAGACTGAAAATGTAGAGAGCTGCAGTGGAGAAATGACGCGAGGGCATACAATGTGAAATCTAGTATCAAATGTGTGGGAGGCATAAATATGGAATTCCTGATGGAGAAAATACATACATGCGCAGCGGAAGTGAGCAAGAATCGAAATAACAATCTAGATGCATAATACAACCTAGGATTAAACATGCAGGATCATACATTATGATGCTTAGAGATAAGTAGAGAAAAATACAAACCTTTGTAGCTCTTAAAAAATCTTCAAATGGCTCCAATGAAGGACCACCAAGAGATCTTCCTAGCTATTCTCAAGGCTTGAAATAGAGTGGTGTGACTCTTTTTAGAGAATGAAAAAATTAGAGAAAAGTGGAGCTAAAAGGAGTTATGTAAGCTTTTTGAAAACACATCAAATGGCCAAAGGTTCCAAGAGAGCTTGATGTTTGAAAAAAAGCCTTCTTAAATAGGCAAATTACATGCAACTCTTGCATGTCAAAATTCACTAAAAGCTTACAACACATATTCCACTCATGCATGGTATGACTAAGTGTCAAAATGCATGTCTAAGTTCACCAAAAGCTTACAACACACATTCCACTCATGCATGGCATGGCTAAGTGTCAAAAAGTGGATTTTTGAGATTATTTAAATGTTCCACTCAACAAGTTAGTGGAATTTTCCACCAACTTGGTTAAAAACATTATTTTAATCTACTTTAGTCAACTTTTGACT